GCCTCAGGGAAAAATCCATACTGCATTTCAGATGCATCAAAGTGGAGGTACATTAATCTTTAACACTTTATGTCCAACGGACATTTATTTTTCCACTTAATTCCCACATTAATGACTTAAAACATCTACATGATAAGCACTACAATAAAAAATGTGCCAATTGTAACTCGAGGGATTTCAAACTGGGGTCAGGGGACCCCTGGGGCAGCAAGAAAATATGCAAAGAAATTTTACAACTGCTTTGGAATTATATTTATTGTTAAAAGAGCTTACATACAAAGTCAATATTTTTCAATAATTTAATGATTTACTTTGGCTTCAGTAACAGTATAAAACCATTTTTATTTTGTATAACTTCCCACTTTTTTTCAAACAGTATAAAGGGTTTTTTATACATAAAATATATACTACTACTTTTACATTTTAGAAATGGAATCATCATATTTTGGCTTTTCAACATTATCAAAAATGTTGGGAAAAAAGAATATATGTGTGTCAATTCATTAAACTAATATAGTTTATATTTTACATAGTCTACAGAGCCCTAGGCTATTTTTGATTGCTAAGCAATATAACAATTTGACACATTAATATGGATTACCTTTAAAGGTGTGCATTTTACAACATAATTTAGAGATTATAATTTTATCAGGCATGAATCTACAACATTTCTGCCAAATAGTTAGTACACTTTATGTTTCTACGCTCTCAGTAAAAAGATACAAAGCTGTCACTGGGGCAGTATCCTAAGGTGCAAAAGCTAAAAGGTATATCTTTTTACCTAATTTCCGCCTAAATGGTACATACCATTACTTTAAGTACCCCAGTAACATTTTTGTAGCTTTATAGTAAAACTGCAATATATTTATTAGAACGTTTTAGTGCAATATTTACTTATCAGGAACACATCAGTGGTGTCTATAATGTTCAAATTGAGTCTCGTGGCATAAGCTCAGCTTCAGATCCACAGCACTGGTTCAGCACCATTAAAAGGACTCCGAGAAATCCTAGAAGGACGGCAGAAACTCAACCACATGCTGCAAGCACTGGGGACGAGGATTAGGATCTCACCAGCCTTGTTAGCATTGAATGTAAATCTTTTGTTTGTTTTATTTTTACTTTCTTTGCCACCTAGTTGCAGCTTGATTGGTCCACGTGTCGCAGCAAAGATGGATGGGTCACGCAAACAAACCAACAACTGAAGCCATATCAAAGTGCTCGGTGGGACCGAGTCAAGCTCTCTCCGGCCTCAGCAGGACTGTCTACACTGATTTATAAGGGGAGGAGTAATAAACGCTGGTTTAAATAGCCCAGTCAGACAACAGATTCCACAGAGCCTCCGTCTCAAGCATGACACTTGGCTGAAAGTAACAAGACTCATATTGGGGTAATTGTATCATCCTTCTGTGAGGCAAGGGCCATGTTTTGGGGTCATAAATCAACTACCGGCCTCTTTTTGACATGGCTATCAAAGGGATCCTGTGTACTCTAAATAAGTCAACGCAGTCATTATCTTCAATGGGAACATTGTGTTGTCTTGGTTTGTACAATGTTGAAATGTAAAAGAATGGCTACAGTTGGGCTTATCAATCCAGTTGGGACCATAGAGCATCATTCAGCCTTGGAGTTTGGCATTTTATTTCCTGCTAAATGATTCTAGTTATTGTGGTAAGTGTACTTTAGCATTCATTTCAGCAATAAAATGTAATAGAACTACAAAATAAAATAAAATAAAATAAATTAAATACATACATACTATTAACGCTTAATCATATCAGAAATAAAATGTAGCGAAACATGTCTAGTTCAATTCCCGACTCGTGGTCCTTTACCGATCCCGCTCCCCTCTCTCTGCCCTCTGCTTTCCTGTTGTATCTACACTGTCCTATCAACAATAAGGGCATAAAACCCCCCAAAAATATAACTTAAATATGTTAAAAGCCTTTAAATAAATACAGTGTATATTAATGGCAATTAATTCATTAAAACAATAAAATGTTAAAAATGTTATAGACCTACAAGCAAACAAACAAGCAAGCAAGCAAATAAATAACTAAATAAAGTGTATGTTAATGCTTATTCATTCATCTCAGCAATAAAATGTTATTAAAAATAAACAGACGGACAGACAGATAGATTAATTAATTAATGCTTAACCATTCATTTCAGCAATAAAATGTTATTATAGGCCTACAAATAAATAAATGTAAAATAAACATGTAATAAATAAAAAAATATTAAATTAAATTACTACTTTTTAAATAAATAAATGTTGCTATTTAATTCAATTTCAAGTTGTTACTCTGACAAAACAAATACTACAATATATTGTGTTCTCCATTACAGAAAGCGAAAAATGTCTATTCTTGTGTGGACAACATCAGTGAGTTTTTTACAAGTTTTGCAAAAAGTAGCGGACTTACTTTCTCATTTCAAAGCATTTTTTCTGCTTTTTATACTAAAATCCCTTTCACCTTTCTCAACTAAGCAATGCAGTCGTTGAGTCGAATCACAGCTAAGACAACAAGCTCTCGGCCGGAGTCAATTCAGCCCGATCACTTGCAGCTCCTCAGCAGAGCTCAGGAGAGCAGAAATAAAGAGCCTCCACAGGGTCACAGATTCAAAGGGGGTTTCTGCTTAAGACTCATGGGTAAAAATCTCCTAAGCCTATTTAGTTTTCAAACACCGCTGTCTCCCCCTCAGTCTCACAGCAGGGCTGTGGTATCCAAACATGTCTTCATTTACTCACTGTGTGTTAGTAGAATTCCCAGTTGAAAAGGACATCCCAAATACGCTATTATTATCGCTTCGTCAACTCTTATTCAGTGTTTTCCTGACCTCTCACCCCAGGCTATGGCAACAGTGAGAAAAATGTCCGTCTTGATTGACAGGACTGAGAAAAGCCAGCCCCTCCCCTCTCCTCCAATAGGCATTTCAAACACTCTGGGGAACAATGGAGGCTTGGGTGTAATGGATCAATGAGGGGATGATGACTGTCAAAAGAGCACATACTCCTCACACAAACCTGATTATCTCAGCGTGACGGAGGCCAGGGGGAGGTGGGCCCCCCATTGGGCACCTCCAATTGGGCTATCGTGGAACACGAGGACCAGGCTGTCAGGCCTTGCCCTCTCCCATCCAGCAGGGGCCTTTACCAAATCTATTCATATGAGCAGGGGCGACTCTCCGTCCGCCGTGGCTCAGTTAAGTTGGGGGATGGAGGCCGTAGCCATTGTTCGGCACAAGCGCTGAAAAGCTCTGCCTCGACCAACGAAACTTCCTTAAATGTGTCGAAAGACACCCGCAGCCGAAAGCCCGAAATCTCCTCTTTATGTGAATGTGAAGGAAGGGATCTGGGACAGAAAAGAGCAACAGGAGAGCCCCATCTCAGATAAAGCCCCCGCTAATCTGCTTTCATTTGGGCTTTGGGAGCAGCAGTAGATGTTTGTCCTCAGTGCACCTCTGTTTCCAGAGCAGACATACAGTATTAGAGGCCTGCAGATTAGTCATGGGGATGAATGCATGTAGATTGGATGTTTAGGCTGCTTTTCACATACTTTCAAAGGGGGAGATCTGTTATCACTAAATCCTAATCTCAAGACACGGGCTGGAACACAATAAGCAGAAGATAATATGTGTGTGTGTGTGTGTGTGTGTGTGTGTGTGTGTGTGTGTGTGATCTTCACGCTGGTGAACGGGAAAAAGACCTCTGGAACTCAATGCTCATTAAAATGAAGAGGTTTACACAATAGGCTTCCATTGACTTCCCCCTCTAAATTGGGCTTGATATCAATATTGTACATTTAAAGGGACGGATCACCCAAAAATATATTCTGTCATTTAGTCGCCCTCATTAGTGATGGGAAATCTGATTCTATTCCACAAACTGGATCTTTTAGATAGTTTGTTTCAATAAACCGGTTCAAAACATCACCGGTTCACTAGTTTGTATCACACAATGATATACACAATATTATTAAAGCACCCAATAATGTGAAACGTGGATGTCTTACATGTCTAAAGCATATAGAGTAAATGAACTAGACTTAATTAACTCAGATTTTTTACATAAACCAGTTGCATTTCTCCCCATTTTTTAAAGTCAATGCAAGTTACGCATGCTTGTATCAGCAGCTCAACGGCTCTCCTTGAACTCTTTCCTCAGTTCAGTGATTGAGAATTGTTGTAACCATTTACCGACTCTTGACTCAATCTATAACTGTTATCAATGTACTCATGTTAACTCAGATCACTGTTAGTTGCAATGCATTTTATTTGTTATACTGTTATGTATAGATTTTCAGTAAATACATCAGAAAACATGGACATGTCCAAAAGATACTGTTCTCAGTTAAGTGTACTGTTGGCGTAACTAGAACACTGCTAAGAATGAGTTAACTAAAAACTGCCTTATAGGATTGTATCCTCTGGAATATTGGCTAACTTCGAGCCAGAGTGACCGTCGGGCACGTCCGAAAGTGAGTTTTGATTTAGTAACTTGTTCATGCAGAACCGCTTCAAAAGAATGATTCATTCATTCATATCACTAGCCCTTATGTTGTTTTCCTTTTTTTTTCTGTGTTCCACAGTAGACAGCCATAAAGAAAAATGTCCAAGCTGCTCTTTTCCATACAACGGAAGTGACTGGTGACCAATTACTGTCAAGCAATAACTTTTCAACCTGTTTCTCACACAAATCTGCCATATGACTTCTGAAGACTTCAAATTAGCATATGAAATACCTTTATGATACTTTTTTTTAGAGGTTATGGGTCATTTTATGAGTTTGACAACCCCTGATCTCCATCCACTTTCATTATGTGTAGGAGTGTAAACATTCTTTTTTTTTAATCCATTCAATGGAAGTCAATGGTCACCAAAACCAACGGTTACCAACATTCTTCAAAACATCGTCTTTTTGTCCCACAGAAGAAAGAAAACCAAACCGGTTTGGAACGACATGAGGTGTGTAAATGATGACAGTATTTTCATTTTGGGATGAACTATTCTTTTAAAATGCTTTTCTTCCCACTTGCAGATAACACTAGAAGTAAGACATTTGTATTTGACTGATTTTCCCAAAAAGTGTGAATTTGGGGTGGGATTATAGGTTGTCTGACCCATGACAGTGAACATTGAATGTCACTGCATTACATGTAAATATCAAGCCAAATGGCATTGGCAACTTCTTCAACTACTGGTGCCAAGGTGATTTTTAATGAATGTATGAAGTAAGTTCACACAGGTGCACTTAATCCCATTGCATTCATAACATTTCCACTGACAAAAGAAAGTGTCTTTTTTTGACTAAATCAGATATATCTGTTAGGCCATTATAGCCCATCTATTGTGTTTTATAATGACATTTAAAAACCAGATCATTAATACCTTTGTCACAGATGAATCTAAACCTGTCCACTTTGGCTGAACTACACAGTGTTTTCAGAGAAGTACCAGTATCTTCTCTGCTCTGTGTTCTCTGTGTGTCTGTGTAGAGCTCACCTCTGGGGCTGGCAGCCCGAGGCTACGCTGCACGCACTGATTATTTCACCATAATTAAGAGTCCAGGATCTTCAGGGACGCCTCGGTCTTGCTGCATTAGCAACCTCAGCCTTCATTCTGTAACATTACATCAGTACCATCACTATTGTGATTTGATTCGACCCTCTTCAAAAAGGATTCAACAGCCTGGAGGTGTAGTAAAAGACAGTACCTTATAGATTCAGTCATCTTAGAGAAAAAGAGAGAAAAAAACAGGAATTGGCTGGTTCCATCTGCTGAGATCTTTGGGCTGTACTGACCTGCGGTCTGATTGACAGCAGGGTTGATTCTATATGGACGAACTGTGAGAAAAGGGATTGACTGATTTTGTCTAGCAGGGGAAAAGACTGTGTGTGACTATGGCTTTGACTGGCAGCTGGCTGTTCTGAGTGGATACAGTACAAGTTTCTTTTGCAGGGGGTTGAGCAGACACAGGATTGGCCGAATCATCAATTACAGGAATGATTGACAGGTGACGGCCTCCGAAGTGTGTGCACTCAGCTCCAGATGTAGTTGCTCCCAGCAAGAGAAATTAGATGTGGAGTAATCAATCAGTGTCGCTGGCAGCTTTACCTGTAAAACACAAGTCAGGCTTTAAATTGTTATATTACATTATTAATGCATAGTATATAATGTACTGGATATTTTTAATGAATTATCTCCTCTTTAGCCAACCGTGATGATATAAGGAACGCTCAGCGTTTCAAATGAAATGCATTTCACTGCTGATTCATGTTTTGGATGTGTCCTAGAAAGTTTTGCTAATGTTCCTATTAAGTTATAAAAATGGTTTCTCCTCAATGTTCTCAGAACGCTCAAAACATCATAAAATGTTTAAAAAAAACTTTTGTTGTTGTTTATGTGAATATTACGGGAACATTTCCTTTTACCATTTTGCAAACATTAGAACATTACTTTTGAATGTCCTCTGAACGTTCTGAAAGTAGTCTAGTGCACGTCTAAATAAAATATTGCAGAAATAAAATATTCCTTTTTTTAGCTCCTTTGTTTTTGTGCTAACGTTTTTAGAACAGTATTAAAGACCAGATCATTCTACACAAATTCCATTAATGTTACCGGAAGAATGTTTGTTCTTCCAGTTGTTTGAGAGAACCTTGCTAGAACGTTAACCAAAGTTATGAGAACGCTCCCTGTTAACTGGGATATTACTCTAATAAGCTATGGACATTTTTCATTGCGTTTCAGAGAATCCATTCATTTTCAGCTTATTCATTTCGAAACTGTCTTTATTTCAATCATTAAGCACCAGACCTCCACCATGTGGTAACATCCTGAAAGATTTTCTGTTGACATCTCATTCAGATCACACCCTCTACACTCAACAATGTCTAAAATCTTAAATTACATTAGAGCTTTGGAATTTCAGTCCATAATCACAATGTTTGCATGCTATTACACACGCAAGCCGTCAAACAGCACAGTCAATTGTCTATCAAATAACTGTCAATTCCACCATCCAATTTAATGTAGCACTCTGAATTTTCTGTAACATTCAAAATTGAGTAAAAGTTCGGGGTTAATTTGTAAACGTCTCTAAGCCACATTTAGAGTTAAAACACCATGCATTCCCAAAGTTGAAAGATAGAGGGCAGCCTTGCGACAAGAACAGTCAGGCTGTAAGCGATCCCTCAAACTGTCCAGCATCGTCAAACGTAAAATAGGCACAGTATAATTAAATACAATCTACATTCATTTTATAAATGCTTACGTGTACCATTTCTACGTTCATAAAAAACACAACTTTCTCAAACAAACAATCAGATACCACAGCAATGCATGCAAATATACACTGGTGACTAATATATCTTTACTTATCTGTAGTGTGTAACATTTTCATTTCAGCAAAATAATACAAAAAAATCACAAATATAAAAATCTCTCATTCACACACACACACATGTCATGGACACCCTGCAGTGGCTGCCATTTAAGTGGTGTAAATAATTGAGGAATAGCATTTGCCGTCATCCCCACATGAGATGTGTCTATAAAAGAGCATCAGATCTTCTCTTTGAGAGGAGGAGTCTGATGCCGCAACACACTGAGCTCTCCTCAGCAGCTAATCGATGGAGGAGTTTCAAGCTGTTTACAATATGGACTTCATTTAAATAGGCTACATCCTGAGTGTAAAACGAGTAAGCAGTGCCATGCAAACACTGCGGATGGCATCTGACGAATATGATTAGTCATTTAGGTAGCCTAATAATGTATAAAAGTTAGTTATTCAAAAAAAATCGCATCAATTAAAAGTAATTATTTTAATTTAAAAAGTTAAAATTTGAAGCGAGTTAAAACTGTCCGACTTGTTATTGCCCCGAGTTAATTGAAGCTTCATGTCAGTAGAGTCGATTTCAACATATCACACCTTGCAGCTATTCCTGGCGCTACGTCATGTTAGCTTAACCTTGCCAAGACACCCTGCAGCTAAGCTTGCAGTTGAAACAAAACAGAATTAGGTTACAAATGTCTAACAGAGACGTGTGGGCAAACCGATACAGCAGACGCCGCCGGATTAGAGCCTGTTTTCATTTAACCAGGTTTGCAATAAAGCTCTGAATGTTCTGATTTTGTCACGAACAAACGAGCCTTGTACAGATGTTTGTCCAGGAAAACTGCTCACCTGTGCCCGCGTGAAATAACTTCCCTTCCCATGATCCTCTCTGCCGAGTCTCACTCGTGTAGGGTTATGGCATAATCAACAAGTGCCGCTCACTGCTCCCCATTACCACAACAAAGTGCTGGTAATAATCTGAAAGCCGTTTTTACTTTAAGTATATGCATACCTTTAAAAATGGCCATATAAGGCAACGGTTTAAAAAAAAATGTTTTATATATTTTTAATGTAAATAATATTTTCATGACACGTCTCCTCCTCATGAAGAGGAAACAATTGTGTGAAAACGTCAGAGATGTGGGACTTTGGGAGGTTCAGAGTAACAGGTTTTGTAATTGAATGTGTGAAGACTTCAGAAAGGTTTTTCCCCGCCTGTAATAGGATGACAGATAAGAGTGAAAACCTGTTTTAGTTTATGTGAAAGCCTATTCTGATATTTAAATATCACACACACACACAATGTAACAGACATAAAAAGAAAAAAATAGATCTCATTCTCTCATTCTGTTGCTGATGGAAGACAATGTATATTTTGTGTTACATACACTCACACTTACAAAAAATAAAAATAAAAAATTGGGATAAGCAAAACTGTTAAAGTTAAGTGATTGTCTCTTCAAAACAAAGCACATTTTGTAAACAGGTGACTTGCGTCAGTGGGGTTTAATTATGCTTCAGAAAAGGTATTTAATTATTTTTCATTCAGTTACTTACATTTCATGTTATAAAGTGTCATATCAAAAGAAGTAAAGAATCAACATGATTTGTTTTGTCTAATATTTAACTCCTTGATAATATTTAACTTTTGGTTTAAGTACAGGTACAGTCATCATTTACTCCTTTGTGTAGTTACAAACCTGTAATATATAAAAGATATTTCGAAGAATTTGTCAATCAGTATATATATTGTTCCACACAAGAAAGAAGGTAATGCAGGTTTGAAACAGTGATGTAAATGTGTTGTAAATGGTGACAGAATTTTCCATTTTGGCTGTACTCTCCCTTTAAAACAATATATTTGTTTTTACCAAGAGTTGTTTCATGCATTCTAGGGTTGCAAAAGTAAATAGGTTCGATTTTGACTTCACATTGACTTTTTTGTGAAACAACTGAATCTACTGAAAAAAATAAAAATAAAATAAAAGCGTTATTATCATGTATTTTAAGAACTATGAAGCCTTTATATTCATCAGCTGTTTAGGTTGATTCCTGCATACAGGAAAGCAGAAGGTGTCCCATGCTATGTGCAAATTTATAATGAACGGAGTTCACGTCAACGAAAGCAAGAGATATGTGCTGCATTTTATTCATTATCAGCTAATTTCAAGATCAAAGACCGCAATAGGAGAGAGCGCGGCATCACCACTGGAAAGATACTTTAGTCTCACTACTTTTAATGAAGATGATTGTGTGTTGAGCGTCCTCGACTTACTTTCAGTTTCATTCGCGGCAGTTTGCACGTCGGCTTGCTGAAGAGATGCTCAGCTACTCATCCGCAGCGATGCGTGTTGCATTAGCGCTGTCATATCTGACTATAACATGCCATATAGCCTATAAAACGCTCTCGCACATTTATTATTTTAATATTTTGGGAGGAATAAAATTTGCATATGTGGTTTCAACAACCAGATGCATTTACACTTGTCCAGTTTCATCTGGAATGTGGCCCAGACCGCATAATAAATCCGTATTGAGAGCGTTTCGGAGGCCATTTACACCTGGTCTTTTCACGATCGGATAGCTATCTGATCAGAGAAAATGCATGAAGTGACCAGGAGTAAACAAGCCCTGAGAGTCAAGTCAAGTCGCCTTTGTTTCTATAGCGAGTCATACAATACAGATTGTGTCAAAGAAGCTTCACTGAGATTAACAGGAGAATAGTAGAATCAATTCAGATTCAGCTGTAAAGCAGCTCAAAGACAATAGTGTCATTATTTAGCTCAAGTCAGTTCACTGTTGGTTTACATCCATAAGAGTGTGAATTTCATCAACTTTAAAACTTAATCAATTAAAAAAAAAAAAAAAAAATATATATATATATATATATATATATTGTTCCACACAAGAAAGAAGGTAATGCAGGTTTGAAACAGTGATGTAAATGTGTTGTAAATGGTGACAGAATTTTCCATTTTGGCTGTACTCTCCCTTTAAAACAATATATTTGTTTTTACCAAGAGTTGTTTCATGCATTCTAGGGTTGCAAAAGTAAATAGGTTCGATTTTGACTTCACATTGACTTTTTTGTGAAACAACTGAATCTACTGAAAAAAATAAAAATAAAATAAAAGCGTTATTATCATGTATTTTAAGAACTATGAAGCCTTTATATTCATCAGCTGTTTAGGTTGATTCCTGCAGACAGGAAAGCAGAAGATGTATATGCTAAATGTCATCACCTATGGCTGTTGCTCCCTCTGGACCATCTTGTCAAGCAGTCAAGACTCCTTCCTGATGTCTTTACAGAGCCGACGGGAACGGCACACACTTTATCAACCAGTCATCAATCTTTCATCTGCCTCTTATCTATAATTAATGCTTTTACACAGCGGTCGGTTGTGGGGTCCATACAGGTGTGTGTGTGTGTGCGTGCGTGCTGAAGTATAACAAACAGCCAGGTTATGTGTCCAAATGTGTCAATATCGATGTTCACGCAGTGACTCCAGCAGACCTGCGCAGGTTCCTGACTTCTGCAGGAGGAATAAATCCAGACGCTTTCCCAGAATACATTACAAAGGAAATAAGAGGAGACCTCTGCTCTCTCACGGACTTCAGATGTCTTTGTGCCTCTAATGGAGGAGCTTTCCTCTGATATGATTGAAGACAGAAGAGCTCTCCTGGCACTCCTCTCCCCCGCCCCCCGGGCCAGCATCTCAAAGGGAAGGAATAGATTATCCCCCTCGCTGAACCCCACCAAGTCAGACAGTCAGTGCAGGAC